GCATCGGGCTCCCTGCTAGGCGGGGAGCCTGCTTCTCCCTCTGCCTCTCTCTCTCTGTCTCTAATGAATAAATAAATAAATAAAAAATCTTTAAAAAAAAAAAAAAGAGTGACATATGCACATCCGTTTTTACACTTACAAGTTTCCTCAGAAGAAATATTTTTATGCTGCCATTTTCCATATTTGATCTTCGCCCCAAATCACTACTTTGCATCACAGTGGAAAAGAAAGGCATGTGAAAGGCACATTTCACACCTGAATGCCTGCAGAAGCCCATCCAGGAGCCAACCAATGGGAAAAGTTACCTGAAGAATAGTCGCTGGAGCTTAGACTTAAAGAAAAGTTTGCTATTGTAAGTAACTTCAATGCTTTCCCCCTATGCGTGGAATGTGGTGGACTGGTGTCTGCGTTTCTCCTGCCTTTCCAGAACAATGTGCTGCACCCCACCACGGAGCAAGCCGGCCCTTCGGGCACCATGGTCTTCTTGCACTTCCTCTGAGAAACTAAGAGTGGAGTTCGATGAGGAAAGGCTGGGGCCTCCTGCCCAAGGCATTTCAGATGTGCAGCCTGGGACCCCGCATGCTGAACTGTAGAATCCACCCCCCCCACCCCCCGCAGCAGCAAAGGACAGAAAGCTGGACAGAAAGGCCCCAACCTTCCCCCTTTAAAAATGTGTATGGCTTCTGTGAACAGAACGAAGACCTCTTTTCCTGCCCGCCCCCCCCCCCCTCGATTCTCCACTTCCTCCCTTTTCAGGTGGTTAGAGGCCTGGCCGATTCTCAGCTGTGTGAGTCCTCTGGGTCCCTGGGTCCGACACCGGCCTGGGGGCAGCAAGGCTTCGGGCCTGCGCTGCTCCAAGCCACAGTCTCCCAATAAGTGAGCACTGAGCCTCGAGTCGCCCCAGGGCGGGGAAGGACCTCTGTCAGCAGCTCCAGTCCCTCTGAAGAAGGTCTGTATGCACACGCACAGCCCCGTCCCCTCCTCGGGGGAAGAGGGCTGCACCCCAGGGTAATCTGGAGGCCAATCCAGGGGTCCATTTGCATGTCCTCCTGAGGAGGAGGGGCTTATGCACGTCCATCATGTTGCCCCTGAAACAGCCCCATGACGCTCAGGTTGGGAGAGGGACCCTTAGTGGCCAGCCAGTTAGGGGGACAACCTGAGATCACTTCCCCCAAGGGCCTCAGGTGGGGGGTCAGCAGGCAGTGCCCACCTGCCTCAGGTTTCGACCTCTGTCTCACCAGTCCAGGCTTCTAACCCAAAATGCCAATGCTCTCCACGCAACAAGCCAGCCTCGAGAAAACCATCCACTTCCCATCAGTCTGGAGAAACCAAAACCAAACCGGCAAAACCAAACCAGATTGTTTTATTCTGCAGTTTCCTTCTACCAGAACACTACTAAAAATATAAATATAAAATCTCTAGAAAATACTCATACTCAGAATAGATCTGTAATCTTCCTCTCCCAGACTGGGACCAAACTCTTTGTTCTTTCAAAGCCGATGGACCATAAGCATGTTTGTCTTCATACCGTCCACGTACATCACACAGATAAGTTTTGCTCTGTGCAGGGGAACGCACCACCCTCCTGCCAGGTTCTGGAAGCTCACCTGTGATTTATCAGGGGAAGAATACGTGCTGACCAGGGGGATACAGCGGGGTTGTGGGGCTAACAGGGAGGGAAGAGACTCTGCGCCCCCAGCTTCCTTATGCAGACCCAGAAACTGGGTCCTTTGCTCCTCATTATCCTGCCTTTGTGTCGACCAGGCCACCCAGGGCCAAGCTCCCAGAGAAGCTGGACTATGAGGTGTTGGGGTGGGGGCAGTGGCTCCCAGGCTGTTTTCACAGGGAGGTCAGGCTGCTGAGACAGACAGGAAGCCGGGCAGAGCCCAGGCCCTCGGAGGGACTAGATGTTGTCATCGCTGCTGCCTGGCGCAGCACTCAGCCCCTAGCACCAGGCGGTATCTGCTGCATCCAGGACGGGACCTCAGGCTCGAGCCCCCCTCCCCCAGGTGGCAGCATCCCCCCAAACGAGGGAGGACGACGGCCGGGGTGGAGATCATAGAGAGGCCAAAGACTGGAGCAGGGTCCCACGCGGGCCCTCATTCAGCATCAGACACTAGTCTGAGGAACTCCAGCGTCATCCTGGCGATGGTCCTGGGATGACCTGGGATCCCTGGGCTAACCTCCGAGTCTCAGGACCAGGACCTCAGCAGCGGCTGGGTATGGCATGGAGAGCAGGGTGCTTAAGCCAACCCTGGGCGCGCCAGCTCTCTGCATGACCGGCTGCCACGTCACCTGGCCAGGGCCACCCTGATCTCTGAGGCAGGAGCCCCAGGGGGGCAAGGCTCTGCTAGGTTTCCCGCCAGAGAAGCAAACCGAGCTTCTGGCGTGGAAGTTCCCAGCACACATCTTTAGGTTTTCTGCCCCCATCCCCAGCGCTGTGTTGGGTGCAGAACTCCAAGCCGTTCTGGGAGAACTCACAGGCTTCCAAATGCTAGTCCTGAGAACTTCTGATATGATTAGAGATCATATCGTTGTGATGTCCTTGGAGGAAGGCAGCAGGAACTAGACCTTCAGTAGCTGCCCTGCCCACTGCACCCCGGCCGGCAGGGTGCCCGGCCTGCGCAGCCCCTCGGGGAAGGGAGCCGAGGCTTTGCTGGGAGCACGCGGTGCAGCCTGGCCTTCCGGAGCAATGGGAGATGGGGCGCGAGATGGGGCGGGAAGGCTGCAGAAGCAAGAATGCAGGAAGGGCAGCCGGCACCCTGGCGAGCCCACCCCCGACCAGGCTCCGGGTCCAGAGGAGTTTGCTTGGATGTTTCATGCGGCAGAGGTTGGGGTGGGGGAGGGGAGCAGGAACTGGGTGACAGGATGAAGTGGGAAGTGAGCAGTATTGGGGGGCACGGGGAGCTGAGTGGACAGAAAAGGGGAGGCCGCAGGAGTCCCAGGAGGAAGACTGCCCACCGGCCTGCCACGGCTGGATGTGCCATGCCAGCCTTCTCCTGGGGAGCCGGCCGCCCTGTTCAACAAAAGGGAGGTTCTCTTCTTGCTGCAAAGGCCCCCAGGGTTGGGATCACCCCCCGACAGGGTCTCCTGGCCACAGGAAGACAGCATGACAGGAGCCCTGGTGGGAGAGAGGAACATAAAAGTGCGTTAACCCAGGAGGGTCGGTCCCGACATGGATCCGGAAGGCCGGGACGCAGAGAGGACCATGCAGCACCCGGGCAGGGGAAAGGCAGGGCAGAGGGCCCTCGCGGGAGACACAGGCCATTCCAGCACAAGAGCAAAGCCCCTCCTGCCTGGTGAGAGGTAGTTTGCCCCACGGCTCCTGCCACATCCCAGTCTCACATCCGTCACCCCGGCTCTGGCACTTACCACACCCGGACCCCACATCTGCCTCATTTCAGGCCGTGGGCTGGTCCCTGAAAAGCCGCTCTGCCCCCGCCCCCCCGCCCCGGTGGCTGCTCTGTCCTCATCCTGTCTTCTCCACGACTTCGGCTCCAGGTTCTCAAGGCCAGCCACCTGGACACCAAGTCATGGGCCCTGCCCCCAAGCGAGATGATGATCTGCTGTGCTGCTTCTGCTGGGGCCTGCCCAGCCCCGTCTTCACACAGCAGGGGTGGCCCGGCCTCCCCTTCTGCGCAGGGAGCCCACGCGTGGCGGGTTGTACCCCTTTCCCCCAGTGCCTCCTCAGTGGCTGGCTCTGTGCCCTGTCCCAGGGAGCTTGGCACATTCCCCAAATGGCCAGACAGGAAACACCCCGAGAGCCCCCGGCGACCTGGCTGCCTCCGGGTCTCAGGCCTGGTGTCCCCTCTGGCCCACACCCAGAGGGCAGAGGCAAGGCAACCACCTGGGGCCTCCGCGGTCTTGGGACCAGGAGAACAGTGGCTGGGCGGCACTCAGGGAATGCAGCTTTCCAGGTCTGAGCCCATCATCCGCCAAACCCATCATTCCCCACCAGCCGGATTGCCACCGCCCACCCCCCCCCCCCGAGACAGGAGAAACGAACCAGGGAACGGAGGGAGAGGGGCAGGGGCACAGGCAGCGTGTGGGAGGCCGGCAGGAGCCTTCATCCCGGGCTGGTGGCCCTGGGGTCCAGTGGGAAGTCAGGGCAGCTTGGGAGTAGAGGGGCTCCAACACCCCGGGGCTGCGGCCGGCACCCAGAGGAGCTTATGGAACACGAGCCTTTAACGAGGATGACTGAGGGACTCTTGGCCCTGTACAGCCCACACAGGGGGACTGGCTCTCTGCTGATCTCTGCACAAGGGGGCAAAGGGCACGCAGAGCTGGGGGGCAAGAGATACCAGGGAAGGAGATGGCCGAGGGGAAGGGGGGTGCTTGGCAGGGAGGAGAGGCCCTACTCAAAGGAGAGCAGGTCTGGGTGCCGGCCGTCATTGTCAAGGCTGGAGGTCCGTGCCCGAGGAGGGGGGCTGCCTGCCCCCAGTGGCGGGGCCAGGTGGATGGGGCTGAGTCCGAGGCCGTTCCTCTCGAGGAGGCCAGGGGACGAGGCCCTTCGGCACTCAGTCATCTTCAGCTTGGGCTCGTCCTGGCCATCCTGGTGAATCAGGTCAGGTACAGACGGGGAAACTTCTCCATTGGGCAGAGCCTCGCCCCTATCTGCCATTTCCACGGGGGGCTCCGGCTGGGCAGGGGGAAGGGTATCCTGGGGCTGCCCAGGACACAGCTCTGTCCCATGCTCCAGGCTGCTTAGGACGGGCTGTGATGAAATCAGCATGTCCTGCGTGGTCTTCAGGGCCCGAGGGGTTCGCTTCCTGGCGATGGGGGGCGGGGGGTCCAGTCGAGGGAATGCTTCTTGCGGGGCTGACCTGTGGGGTTGATGACGACAGGCACGCGTGCTCTAAGGATGGCGAGACCCAGCGCCCCGATCCTTGCTTCCCTAGCTCCCCCACCCAGCAAGCGCTTTCCTGCTGGGGCTTCATCCTCGGTTTGCTGTGTGGGCTGTGGCGGCTGGAGCACCGCTGGCTTTTGCCCTGCCGCCCCCTGCCGCCCCCCCCCGCCCCGGGGCTGGTGTCGCCGCTGGGACCACAGATGAGCTATGGGGGACAGTACCAGCTGAGGAGCACAGCGGGTGGTGAAAACAAGGCCTGGAAGGGACCTGGTGGCCCCAGCGGGCTTCTCCCTCCCCTGCCCCTGTGGGTCCCACGGGCACCCACATTCCTCCACTACCACCAGCAGGGCAGTGGCTCGAAGGTGTGGCTGGGTTAGAATCCACCCAGGGAGCTTCAGGCGATGCCGGGGTTCGACTCCAGCTCCGCCCACTCCTAACTTCGTAACCTGAAGCTCCTCACCTTACCCCTCTGAACTTGGTTCTGTGCAAGGCGGGAACCACCTGATCCACCTCAGGGCCGCTGCAAGGGTTGGGGGGGCGTGTGGCCCGGCGTTTGCAGACACCAGACAGTGCTCAGTAAACCTCGGCCGTGGTGACCGGGTGGCAGCCAGCAACCAGGGACACGGCCCAGCCCTGTTCTCCGCAGGATGAGCTCATGTCCCCAGCTCAGGGCTGCTCTCTGGGTTCATCCCGGAGCTTGGCAGGCCCGCCCCCCGCACTTACCTCTCCTCCTCGCCGGCGACTCCGCCGGCCAGCCGGGCCCCCGCGGTCCTGTTGATCTCCATGGCGCCCGCACCGTCCAGGCTCGAGGGCTCTTTCCTCCGCAGGAAGTCATTGACTTTGGCCCCCACGGCTCTGCCCAGGTTCTTGAGGTGCTGGCTGCTGCCCACCCAGAGTCCCGGCCCGTCGGGCTCCACCGGCCCCGGGGCGGCAGAGCTGGGGGTCGCCAGCCTGGACAAGTGGGGGAAGGAGCAGCTGGGCTGCAGCTTCGGAGCGTGGGCCGTGTTTAAGTTCTCAAACACGCCGTGGTCCACTGCAAACAGAGGGGAAGACGGACACGGTGAGCGGGGGCGGGTCCCTCTGCCTCTTGCCCTTACAGCACACCCACCGCTGTCACTTCCCGAGGCTTTGGTAACATTCAGGAGAGCACCAGCAGAGGTACTCTTGACCCTCCCGGTCGGGTTTTCCTGATGGGATGTGGGACCAGCAATTCCAGTTCTGCCCCGCCTGGTTCATCGGGGACAAGCTCGAGCCACAAACCTGTCACTTCAACCGAACTTATCCCTTTAAACCTGCCTCCTCGACTCCTGGCTTGACCCCTGACCTTGGGGTCACCAAACCCCTTGAAGAAAAACTGAAGAAGTCATGAACTATGGTATTTTTCTCTCGTTGTGAACACAAGCTGAGCGGACGTCAGCACTGGGGCCGAAGCTTTAACGGCTAGCCTGGTCTGGTATACAGTAGGTGCTCAATAAATCTCTCAAACTGCCAGACCCATTCTGCAGATGGGAGAATTGTAGAGGCCAAAATCATAGCTCTAAGGTTTGTCACCAGAACGACCGGTGCTCAGGGCTTTAGGCCACACCGTCCACACGCTTGTACCAGGGCGTCCTCCCCCACCTGGAAGTCAAGCTCAGTCCTCCAAGGAGCCAGATCCATTCTGGGGCCTTGGAAGCACACGTGAGGTTTCTGTCCTTATCAACTACTCCAGATGTTCTGTCGATCTGGGGGATCTACCCCTCTAAGTGCCTATTCCCGCTGAGCCTTCGCAAGAGTACGTGAGGTTGGGGTGTGCTGCTTCTTCTGCTGAACTTGGCATAAAGTAGCTCCCTCTGCCCTCCACTGCAGAGCCCCCCGCCAGAGCGGATGCATCTCCCTTTACCGTAGTTGCAACAGACATACCCCCCCTGCACCAACTAGCTAGAGAAGCCCTATTGTAAAGGTCTTTGGGCGGCAGCAGGAAGCTGTGGGGAGAGGAGCGGATGAACCCCACCCCCAGGTCTGCACGTCTGTCGTACACACAGGGAAGGCACCATGGCGGGGGCCGTGCTAGGGAACTGGGTTAGAAGAGCCCTGGGGTCTGGGGCACAGAGCTGACCGGCTGAGGCAGCCTGGGCTCCGGGTGTGGCCACGCCACCCTAGCAGGACTTCCAGCCCAGCCCCCAGCGGGGTTATCAGCTCCTCTGACTCGGCTAAGAGCTCTATCTCGCCACATCACCATCCACTTCAGCATACTTTCCCTATCGCGTCTCGTATCCCTCGAGTTTTTTCTTTAATCATAAAATCTGCAGAGAAGCCCTTTGCAATGAAAGCATTCAACTCTTTCCCCCCCAAACCAGCAAGTATATCCATGCCACTGCGAAACCAGGGCAAATGTTCTAGAGGTTCGCTGGGGAAGGCAGATCCCCCCCACTTCCTGGCTCAGATATATCCGTGGTGGTCTCCTTATTGGTTTCAAGTGAAATCTACAGTGTAGACGTGCTCCTTTCTGAAAGTGTAAGCGACAACAACAACAAAACCCTAAGTGACTTGTGAATTGTGAGCTCCTCTTATTTGAAAAACTGCCCTTGCGAACGTCTATGCTGAATTCGTAAGTAATTTAAAGATAACCTATCCTGTGCGTTCTTTACAATTCCCTAAGTCTTTCTGGCAAACACACCTTGGCTCGATGATGAAATGGTGAGCTCCTCGAGGGGATGCAGCATCTGAGTGATTTTTTTTTTTTTTTTTTTTACTTTCTGGAGTGCTCAGCATAGGGCCTGGCGCAAGAGTCGGCATTTAGTAAGTTTGGCTTAATTGAATTGGCTTTTTATAGGAATACTTAAAACTTGACCACATTATGGGCGGACAGTGTAGAGAACTGTTCCCGAGCCTTTTTCCATTTATGAAAGCCAGTCATAACCTCCTCTCTTGAGGTCAGCCCGGGAGCAACTGCTCTTGTCTCAGAAGTGGGACTCTGGCGGGGGGCCTCCTTCATTTCCACACCGGAAGGATGTGCCAGGAGCCCCTTTCCTGCTGGTGGCACTAACGACCTGCACACTCCGTCCCTCCCTTTGGACTAGATGCGGGGTGGTTCGGAACGTAATGGCGATGATGGAAAGAAAAACCATGAGACCCTGACCTGGTGGTCCACCCCGCAGCACCCCCCACATGCACACATCCGAGCAAAGCCAAGCATCTGTGACATAAGTCGTCCATAAGGAAGATGGTCTCTTACCTGTCCGAGAAAGGGGCTCGGAAAGCAGGTGGGAAGCAAACAAGAGAGAGACACATTTTATGTAGTGGCCGACCACTTTGGGAGTGTCACCTCCTGCCCGGGCCACCAGCAGCAACGTACCGGGAGAGCGTGACAGGCAAGACAGCAGGACTGCTGCCAGGAATATCACCAACCCTGGACAACCAGGTTCCCACGAACTCTTCAATACCTAGACCGAAAGTGTCTTGTTTTTAAAAACTCTACAAACAGGCTCTGACGCAGCTTCCCATGTGTTCCCCAACATTTTGAGCCCCCTCTACAGGCAGTCTAGCGGAAGTTCCCAAGCTGGCAGCGGGAAGAATTCAATGACCGCCCCCCACGCCCGCAGGATGAAATTCAAAATCTTCTGGGTTCCGTGTGCACACGCTCATTACTCTCCTGTCCCATTTCTGCACACAAATCACCTGATTTTACACCAGGGAGATGTTCACCCATTCCAACCATTAAATGAACAAAAGAGGTGGACACGGTGGCAGGGAGGTTTGCCTAACGCTGCACAAGTCACTAACAGCAGAGGGGGGTAAGAACTCACACACGCCAACTCCCCGGACCCCAGGATCTTCCTCTGCACCGCAGGGGCCAAATCAAATCGCCAATACCCTCAAGGCTGCCAAAGCCCATGGTGTCATTAAATTCCAACGCCTTCTAAGCTTCTAAGCCGGGCTCTGGGGAGGCAGTGAGGTTCTCCACCCTGTCCTGCAACGCTGAAGTCCCGCGGGCGGATCCCAACAGGACAACGACTCCAGGCTCTCACACCCAGAAGCCCACTCGCACCTGCACGTGCTCCACGGCCAGGCCACATCTTTCCCCGCAGCCCAAGCAGACGCGCATTTAGATCAAATGCACTCTATGTACCTAGTCTGCCCCTGTTGTGACGCTCTAGAGCGGGGCTTATCTTCAAAGTGGCACGATCACCTTTCACCCTTACTCCACAGCCCTCCAGCCGGCTAGGCTGGGACAGGACAGAAGCGAAGCAGAGACGAGAGGCAACCTGGCCGCTCTGGAGTTCAGTCTCCCCGGCAAACTGCTTAGAAGGAGCACAATGGTGTTGAGTAAGCCGCCCTTTGTGTTTTAGTCATTCGCTAAAAATACACAGCACCGACCATTTAAAACATTATCTGGTCCCTACTCTTAGGCAGTGCACACTGAAGCATTTAGGCACAAAGGGACATGATGCTTGTAACTTACCTTGGAATAGCTCCGCAAACCAAGTAGGGGGCAGAGGGAGGCGAATTGACAAAGCGAAAGGGGTAAAATGTTAACAATAGGAAAACCTGGATACAGAATACACGGAAGCTGATTTTAGCTTTCAACTTTTTGTCACTTTGAAATGATTTCCAAAGAAAACGTAAAAATTATACCCCAAACTTCAAAGCGGAAAGAACAAAAACATCTGATGGCAGATGGCAGAGGTGAGGCAGATGAAGGAGAAGCCAAGCGAGCAGCTTATTCAGAGAGGACAGAGGTCCCCAGAACTGGGTGTGTCAGCAAGGACATAGAAAGGACACCAAAGATCAATGGGGCGGGGTCAACAGATTACATCACGGTCACATCTCTGCTACAGGCTTCCTTCCCCCTGGGCATTCTCAATCGAGGCAGGCCAATGAGGAATGACAAGCCCCAAAATTTAAAAGACTCCATCCGTCTTTGAAAGGGATAGCCTGGCCAGCGAGTGGAATCATGGGGCCTTCTTGTGATGTCAACTGCACTCAGAATGTTCATCATCTGGACAACCCAACCAGCCTCTTGGGAGCAGATGTGTGATCTCCATACCCTACGGTAGTCAGAATATGGAGAACTTCTCACTCCTCAGCATTTCCGGACCTCCAATCTCCTCCTCAGCCCTGAGCACTTTTCCCGACATTATGTCCTCACGTGCCACCAGCTTGCCAGGTAAACTCTGGTGCCACTAGGGCCACAAAAATGTGGTTTTTTTGAAGCTTTTAATTGAGCACTCTACCAGATCATGTTACAGGACTACGATTTAGTGAGAAAGGCAAATTACACATGGGGAGAAAATAATTTTTCAAAATGCTGCATTCATGGTAAGTAGTTCCTGCTGTTTATTCATTTCTGGCAAGGGAAGGATGGGGGAAAACACTTGTTGTCCAGTTTTGTTTTTTTCCTCTAGAATCTCAGGTGACTGTCTATGTAGAATAGGGGCTAGTTTTAGCCCTGGTTGGACAAGCTGGAGAAGAGGCAGGCTCACCAACCCCTCAGTAGGAACCTAGGAGGCAGGGTCCTTGAGGAGCATAGCAGGGAATCAAGGCAGATGCTCGGAGGACTCGCTATTCCAAGTGTGGTCTGTGGGCCTCCACGGCGGCCTCACCTGGGAGCTTGTTAGCAATGCAGACTCTCAGGCTGCCCCCAGACCTGCTGACTCAGGACCTGCGTGGGTAACAAGGCCTCCAGGTGGTTCCTGGAGAAGTATGCATATTAAAGCTTGAGAAGCCTCCTCTACGCAGGAGCTAGCTCTCCGAAACATCCATGTGTCTGTAGGAAACCACCTCATACGGTGGTTTCCCAAACTGAGCTCTGGTCCCACTCTGGGATTTGAGGCAGGCTGGCTTTTTACCAAGCGTTAGCAGTCATCAGGGTGTTCACGCAGCTAGGGTCCACCTCAACGCTCCCCGGCTGTGGGCAGGAGATGTTTCAACTGGAGAAACTGACTTCTCATCCTCAAAGGGGCCATGTAAGATAGCTACGTGGTCCGTGACTAGACTCCCTCCCCTGGATCCCAGAGCAAGCCCAGAGGCTGGAATGCAGAATGCAGAGAC